CATATGTAAACTTTAGGCAATAAATAATTTTTTAAAAAATGTCATCTTTTTTTAAAAAAAAAAATCTGTGGGCATATGTATTAATGTGTAATGGCTGCCATAACAAAACATCACAGACTTGGTGGCTTAAACAACAGAAGTTTATTCTCACTACTCTGGAGGCTGGAAGTCTGAGATCAAGGTGTCACAGGGATGGTCTCTTCTGAAGCCCCTCTCCTGGGTTGACAGAGGGCTGTTTCTCCCTCTGTCTCACTGAAGGATCTTAAATCTTACCAGACAGCCTCTCAGAGGAAGTTGTGGGAAAGGGGCAGGACATGAGTTTTTTTCTCCGTTGCCTCATTTAGCGGTGCCACTCCTTGACTGTTTCCCAAGGATCCTACATCTCTTTGGAAACCAATTCTCCACTCCCTGAGCAGATTGTTACCTCTTGGAGAGCTGGTTTGGGAAACCAAACACCAAATAAAAGCCACCCCTTCTGTTTGTAATGCAAACTTTCATCCACACCTCTTAATGGAATGAATTGGATGTGGGAGGGTGGAAAGAGATGATAAATATCACCTGGCCATATAATGCAGGTGAAAAATGGATTTCTCAGTGCGAGTACAACCACTGAGTCACTGAGTTGTATCCAAGATGAGAATTACCAAGAGGAAAGATTCCTAGAAGAAAATTTATCTTTAAGCTGAGTTCCTAAGGGCTAAAATATTTCTGCTTAAGGTTCATGCCTGGCATGTTATATCTATAATCCAATTGATCCCATAAATTCTATGTTGATGTTATTTTTTTGCCAATTTTGCATCACCTGGTAATTTTTGGAAATGTCTATGTCCTGATATTGCAGAAGTGATTAAATGTAACACCATATTCTCCTTAATATGCACTGAAAAGATGAGGAGCTTAGGAAAATGTGAAAAAAGAATGGGGACTAAATGTAATCAATTTAAGGGAATTATTAATTTAACCTTATTATAGTACCAAATAGATCTACTGAACTAAAGGCAATAATTTGGCTTGGAATTGCATGATGCTTTGGAATTGCTAGATCTTTGGATTGAAAGAAATAAAAATTGTTTTATAGTCAGGAAGAAAATGTGGGTCAATAAATTAATGCTCGGGAAATTTTATAAATCTGGAAATTAGATTGATTTCTCTCACTATGAACAATTTATTTTAATTTTATGAAAGGAGCATAATTTTTAATTGACTGGAACATTTTATCACTTGAATAATTACTATTTGAAACCAATCCCTGTCTTGTTTCTCAACTATCAGTACTAACAGTTTTGAAAGTAGCCCTGCAAAGAGATACATACTTGTTTTGTGTGTGTTTTGTGAAAAGGGATGACTAAATGGCTTTTGTGACTTCTGTTTGATCAAAGTGCTCTACCCACACCGGCATGGATATTTTCAGCCCCACTGAATGGTGTGCTGTTTAATATCAAACTGGTGATAGAAATTTCACTGAGCATCTTTGAAAGACAGTAGTGCTGTTTGCCAAATATTTCCAGGTTCTCACTTTAGCAGTACACAGTAGGACTGCATTCCTGGACCTCCTGTGGTCTGGTCAATGAATTCAGGTAGATTGATAACAGGGTTGATACCCAAGAATGTCGTGGTAGCAAAGGGGATGTCCACCTTGAATGAACTCACACATGAGCATCTTGTGAAAGGTAAATCTTTCCATTTTTATTTCTAAAATAATAACCAGACTCTTTTATGTACAGTGGTTTAAACAGACACACACACAAACACAATAATAATAATAATACCTAAAATAATATTTTTCTTGTTTCACAAATGATAAAACTAATGTTCTAAGAACTGAATTAATTTTACTCAAGGTCTAAAATAGACTACAATAATGAACAAGTTAAAAAGTCCTCTTATTTTTCTTCTGTTCCCTATCTTTAAGAAACCTGCATGATTTAATTTTCTCCAAAGTAGATTCAATGTTTCTCTTGCCACCTCACGTCCCACTCCCCCCTCAACCCTATCCCTGAAACCAGATCTAACCCGGTCCCTCAACATGTGCAGGATCTATTCAGAGCGGTGGATGGCTGAGCCCAGGGAGGCAGAGAGTAAGCCTCAGGAACAAAAGTTGATCAAGTCCTGCAGGGCCTCGATAGTCCCAGGCTTTTCCAGAGTTTATAAAACAGCTTGCATATTGAGTCTTAATCTTGCCAAGGTTGGCCAAGAAGCCAGACTCTTTCAGGTCAATGGTAGGTCAAAAGGTTGGTCAGTATAGTTTCCTTAAAGCCCAGTCACCAAATGTTAGCCGCAATGTTTCCTCAGCAAACATTAACACGCTGAGATTTTAGGTGTTGCTCCAGGCAAGAAGAGAAGTCTCCCAAGGAAGCCGACCTGTCTCATCTCATGCCAGCCCTTCTCCTGAAACTCAGCTCTCAGTCCAGGGCAGGGAGCATCCGTGAGAAATGGGGAAGCCTAGGCAAAACGGTGGAAGCTCTAGTTAACAGAAAGAATATGGCTGGTGTCTATTAATCACTTAATTTGAACCAGGCATGACTCTACCAGTTTTTAACATATTAACTCACTGACTCCAGAAACCATCCTGGGCTATGCGTGTACTATCACTAGACTTATTTTACAGAGGAGTGGATGGAGGCACAGGGGTATTCTGCAATTCCTCTGAGCTCACATAGTAGACAGGTTAGCCTCCCAGCTTTACTGGTCTGTGCCTTAGGCATTATCCATCCTTCTCCCTCAACCTTAAACTCAGCGCTCAGTGCCTACTCGCCCTTCTCTATTACCTAAGCTTGGTCTCTGAAATAACTCTGCAGCTCTGAACTTACAACTTTACATAGAAAACATCATTGCTTCTCTCCAGGTTATTTGTTCAATGTCTCATTTCTCATGGTGGAATGAGGAGTTCTGTAATCTTTTAGGTGAATTTCAGGCATAAGCAAATATGTGGAAGAGATTTTAGAGGAACAGAACCTCGACCCTGAAATCACACTGGGTGAAACCTGCTGTGTTCAGGTCACATTAAAGAACTAACCTTTATATAAATGGCTGAGGGTTCCAAGTGGCTGTCGCCTCATCATAAAAATGCCATCCAATCACCTCCCAGAATGGGGCCCCCCAATTAGAATCTACACCTGAAGTAAACCCTGGTTTTCACACCTCTGCAGTCCACCCCTGACCCTGGGACCTCCTGTCCCAACCATGCTTCTAAGAGCTATCTCACCTGAGGTCACTGGGATCTGAGGAGCTGCCACTCATGTTCAGGGGGCTCAGTTCTCTGCAAGTTCACTTCTGACCTCCCTCCCCATTTCTTGCCACTGGAATTCTTCTCACCTTCTGAGAACACCATCAATCTTTTATTTTTTTATTCTGAATTAAGGACTGAAATATGACCTTTTCCCTGTGGTTTAGTCTTGTCCTGGACTGTGATTCTGCCTTGCGCTTATCATACACCCCATGTCACTGAGCTGTAACTCCACTCTAAACACCGTGGATGAGCCCCAATCTCTCATTTCTGCTGAAAGACCTCCCTCATGCTGCCAGCTCTCCATTCTGGACTTGGAAGGATCACTTAGTATGAATTTGCTATCCCTTGCCTCTAATGCTTGTTGGGCCCCAGCATGGTCTGCCATGGTGCCAGCGTTGTTCCTGAACCCTACTGATATCACATGCATCCAGATGTGAAAGCATAGTCCCAATTACAATTCATTAGGCCCTGGGCCATGAGAGGAGGATATGCCGAAAGAATGGAATCTTTAATTCATCCCCCACCTCATAGGTTCAAAAATAGATGTTGAAAAATTATGTGGATTTCTTTGGGGAGAATTGTTAGTGCATTTCTACTTCTTTCCTACACTTCCTCCTAATATGGGTCTAAGCCTTGTGCACATCCCAGTTCTACTAAGCAGTGTAGTTCCTGATCTTGGCTTCTACTTTTTTCCCCCAACTTTTACTACCACCATTAGCTGGGTGCAACCATGCTCCTCTTCTCTAGAATGGCTGGATATACGCTGCCCAGGAGGAAGGGCCTCCAGCTGAGACAGTCTAATGAACTCCCTAACAGCTCAAACTGGGACCTTAATAGAAAGGTCAACTTGAAAAGATCTTCTGAACTAAATCTCAGTGAATGGCTAATCAATACATGTGATAATAATATTCCACCATGGAGGAACCCTAGGGGCTAGAAAATGGGCAGAGGTGGGGAGAGTTAAACTTTGTGAAGTTCTACTAAATCCTCCCTCCTCCCTTTTAAAGTGCTCAGATAAAACCCAAATGTAAAGATGCTTAATTAAGAATAATATGCCAGTGTTTCCCTCTGATTTCCCAGCACCCACATATGCCAGTCAATGTGTGTAACAAAGCCCTTCTTACTCTCCCTCCCTCTCTCTGGACACCAGCACATCAGGTTTTTAGAAGCTGTAACAGAGGAAGTCCCTTTAGGGTTCTTTACTTCCCTAAGATTTGCCTTTTCTTTGCCTCATTGCTGAATATATGGGCCATGACTCAGAATGGAAAGGAATGTAAAAGAGGATGTGACTGTTGCCAGGTGATTCTTAAAAACAAAACCTGAGACCCATCAACATCCATGAAGAAAGGCCATGAACTCTCCAAGACGAAACCTTACCAAGACTGATCATTCCTGCCCACATTCCCCTATTACTGCTCAGGCTTTAGCCTGCCATTTTGTGACTTGTTCTTCCTTCATGGATGCCTAATATTTGTTTTCCCTTGTGTAGAAATGTCTCATAGGTTGGCTGTGAGTAGACAGCTAGTTTGATGCAACTCCACCCACGCCCCCTTAGGAATGATTCTGGCCCTAACTTCATTATGGAGAGACAGACTTGCTGCTTTGTGATTTTAATCAGTGAAGTCTTCCTTCTGGACAATCGGTCTATTGTAAGGGTCACCACTCACTGCCAAGATGGAATTAGGTGTGTGAGCGCTGTGGACAGCAAGGGTGTATCCTGTATCAGTGCAGGTGTGATGGCAGCATCCTCTCATTGAGGACAGAAACAAGTGTGATTTAACTTGGTTCTGTAGGTTTTAAAGAAGATGTGCATATTTTCATTTATGTGCTGGTCGGTCAAGATGTTTCTATTCTCTGAAGGGTGCGTCCATCTATTCCCTTCCCACCTCACTCCAGCATCACTGAGTAGGGAAGAGCATGCTCACAAGGGCACTGAGTGGTCTGTCACAACTTGCAGGTGAAGGTTCTCCTTGAGTTTTTAATACTCACATCTCATCTTCAACGATTCATTAATTTAGATCCATTGGTTGGGCTTAATGATGCATTCTAAATAGGAACAATAATAACAGTGATATCAATGAGTAATTGCATTTACACAAATGCACACATATTTATATGTATATGTATGTGTGTGCCTGCCTAGACAACATGTAAAAATGAAGACACGCAGAGAAGGACCTACATGACACAGTATTAAGTTACCATTTTTCACTGAATCTAACTTTGGAAGCTACATCATTATTTTTATGTTCCACCAAGAAAGAAAAAGAAATTGCCAATTAAACTAAAACATGCCTCTAATTATAATATACATTCCAATTTCAGAAATGTTAAAAGGTGAAGAGAATGTCTATCATAGAATTGGTGAAGTATGTTAAAAGTTATACTCAATACCAGCTAACTGTTAATGCTGGTTCCTAATGTGTCCAGAAACTTGTTTATTTGTTTGTTTTTAAGGAAGCAGTTCTTGTTGAGAAACTGTTAGTTGAACGAATGACTTCTTTCTAATTAATATAGCAATGGTAGCAATTGTAGTTGGTATCTTAAAAGACAGATAGCTTAGACAAAAGTCATCTTCAATATCTATAAGAACACAGACACGTCAATCCAAGGGAGTATGGTTTACTAAAAGAGTCCTGAGCAAGTAGAATGTTAATTTCCATGGTTTGCTGGGTGGCTTTGGGCAAGTCTCAAGTATTCTGAGCCTTGGTTTCCTTACCTATGAAATGAGTAAACTGACTTATTTCTCATTTCCACCCACTAGCATTTTATGAATTTATGATACTGGGTCCATGTTTTCCCAACTTAGTGGTCCAAATGTCAGGTTTAAATACATCCAATGTGGAAAACTGTCTTGAGTATATTCTGCTTCACTTAAGCTTTAGCAGGATACTGCAATATTTGTTGAGTGAAGAAATGAATGAATGAAGGTAGTCCTAATGATTTTCTTTGCTGAAAAATCATGAATACTGACCTTAATATTTTTCTCTGCAGGAGGACACTGACCCTCTAGTATTGAGACCAAAAGGGAGAGGCTTACCTCTGCTACTCTTGTTGGTCCCTTCAGTGAAGACATCTTCATCCTCAAAGCATCTCTTATCTGAAGAAGCAATGACAGTGAAGAAATGACAATATCCCCAATGCCTAGTTCATGTCCTGCAACTGGGAGACCAGTCACACTGGCAGAAGCAGCATCAGATGGCTTAGCACAGTGGTTGACAAATAATAATGCTTAGATAATTGTTAAGGTGTGGTGTAATGAGATTTACTATTAAGATTTAAATTGTAGGTATGGTTTTAATTGTTTTCATCAACTGTACTCACATAGAGCCTCCTGTTGACTTGATGATGTGCTGGGAATGAGAGAATAGAGTTCTCTCCTTTCCCACTCACAGCTGATGCCCTGAACCCCACCCCCTAACTCAACTCCCCTGAACCATGCTCTCTAAGGAAACCTGCTTCTTCCTTCTGCTTCCCTCAGCCACATGAAAATAATTTACAATGAGTGAAACAAATTCAAATTACCTTGTGATCCATAATGGTTCCAAACAGCAAGATGAAGAACCCCTGTGGCAAAATTCAACAGAAGTATGAGGGAAAGTTTTGCAGGCAACATATCAGCTGTTATGTTACTACCACTCTTTTAGATACCTTCTAGGACTGTTATCAGACATTCAAAGCTTCACTTACCACTGATTCAGAGAAAAATGCATTGATGTGTATTTTCTTGAGTGCACCTCAAAGAAAGAGGATCACCTTCATGTCTGTGCATGATGATGATTTTCATTTATTAAATGGCTATAGATGTAGGATAGAGTTTTCAACATTATTAAATCTGTTTACTTTCTTTCCAAATATTAAGTGAGCTGTTCTTACTCATGATGACAGTGATATATGACATGGGATCTTGCAACTCAAAGTCACAATAACAGAAGGTATCTTGAGGAGATGAAACTTGTATTCTAGACTATTTTCACACCAAATTATCTGGGCTGGTGGAAGAAGTTTCTGGATAAAAGAAAAACTACAGAAACCAATAAGGTCAGAGTCTCCTCAAGTTTAAACACTTGGTCACAATCATTGGGAGCCAATCTTTTTAAATGTTGGGAGTTGATGTCCAAGAAAAATCTGGATCTCGCCATGAGAGTGGAGGGAATCTGGGTTTTTCATGGTGAAGAAACACTGATCAGAAGACTGAAATTGTAAAATGTGAGTCACAAGTGTGTGTCTTAGTATTTTTCTTTCTATCATGAAAGGAGACAAATAAATGATCTGAACCAAACCACAGAACATTCTGAGGTTTAATTAAGTTGCAAAGTAAAAATAGGATGAGGTCATTAGTTACCAGAGTAACTGGTGGAAATCCTCTCTCCTCCAGACTTGGGGAGATATAATGTGAGTGTAAGAAATTTTGATTTCAAAAAACAAGCAAACAAACAAACAACACAACAAGAAAACAACACTTAAGTCAAAGGTTTCTCTTTAAAGTAATGCAAGGGAACGAGTGAAATAAATAGTCTCTATAGTTATTAAAGACTTATGAGTAAGATATATAATTCATCTGAGTTGGCATGTCTTTAAAGCTTGCTTTATATATTAAATGCCAAATTTCTAAATATAGTAGCGATGACATGTTAATAGGAACACTTTGCTGCTTTATTATGCAGTTATTATTTAAATACTAGTCAATTTTTTTTCTTTTTGCTTAAAACAAGCAGATAATAAATATGTTAGGCCTTGAGGGTATACAGTCTCTGTTACCACTACCTCAGCTTTGCCATTGTAGCTCCAAAACAGCCATGGGCGAAATGTAAATGATTGAGTATGGCTGTGTTCCAATAACACTATTTACAACAGGAAACAGGCCATAGTTTGCCAACCCCTGATTAAAAACATAATTAAGAATATAAACCTGCCAGATTTTCTGTTACCCATAAGTATGGAAAGCAGCCTGGCTAATGACAGTTTCCCACATGTGTAAGCTTAGCAGCCAAAATGAAGTAAAGCAGCTCTTAGAGGGATCATCGTGCCAATCAAGTATGTTAAGGAATAAAAGACAGTAGAGATCATATTAGATCCATCTTTTTATCTTACAGGTGGAACGTTGAGAGAAGTGACTTTCCTAGGATCAGGTCACACGTGGCAGGATTTCGTTCTATGAATGGCAACCTACAATTACATACAGGGGATAGAGGCATGGGAACCCCTGACTGGTTAACACGCACAGAGAATGGCACAATCATGGAAAATGATTCATTTCACTGAGTTCTCAAAATACTTGAGAAAGGATAAAAATTGTGCTTGTTTGGAGGCATGACACGTGAGTGTAGCCTCACACACATCCCTGACCTACTAGTCCTCCATAAGTGCAGGTCAACTTCTTCTGTCACGGAAACTTTAGGAGGGATCCAGGTGGATCAGTGAGGAAAGAAGGAAGTAAATTTTCACCCAACCAGCTTGATCAGTTCAATGCAACATGATAATCAACAGGGTGAGAGATGCCACAACTAAATGTCTCACAGTGGTTCTCAACCTTCTGGCCCTTTAAATACAGTTCCTCATGTTGTGACCCAACCGTAAAATTATTTTCGTTGCTACTTCATAACTGTAATGTTGCTACTGTTATCAATCGTAATGTAAATATCTGATATGCAGGATGGTTTTAGGCGACCCCTGTGAAAGGGTCGTTTGACTGCCAAAGGGGTCCCACAGGTTGAGAACCGCTGCTCTAAGATATTTTGTGTTCTATATTTTTAAATCATAGCCTTTTTTTGGATAACAAATTATAAAATAATATTTTATAAGTGAACTATTAATTGATAACATTAATTAATAAAGTAAGTCTCCCTCTTGGAACTTACCTGGAAAGCGTTGAGCAGGGCAAAGATTATGTGGAATATCAAGGAATTGCCTTTGATGAGAGTGGCTACTCCAAAACCCCAGGTCAGTCCCAGCAGTGGGGTGAGGATGGCAACGTTTTTACTGATCCTCCTAATTATGGCCACATCTTGAGACTTGGAACTGCCGATAAAGGGCCTCTGAGTGTTGACCGCAACAACCAAAACCACAAGAAGATTCACAGCCACGATGACCAAGGCTGGGATGGCGAATGCTAAAAGGGCTTTGGTGTTGTCCCAGTTAAGCCAACAGGCATCGTGTCTCATGTAGCCTTTCTCTGGCATTGTGATAGCAACGGTGGTGCCGGCGATGATCAATGGGAACCCATAGCCAATGACAAAGCCGATGGCCATCATGCGGGACTTCATCATCCTATGAAAAACGACCAATATTCCATAGATGATGAGCAGGGCTTTGAAGAGCATCCAGAAAAACAGAGAGAGGTAGAAAAAGTGGCTAAAAAATGTCATTGCAATACACCAGTTGTGGTCCTGGGCCTTTTTGCTAAAGTTGGAGGATATGATGAACCACACATTAGCAGTCAGGAGCGACACGGCTATGTTCACGATGCACACGTGGCGCATGTATGATATCTCTGTCACAACAACCCGGGACCACACCGTAGCTTCAATGAGCAGGCAAAGAACCAAGCTAAGGATGGAGACACTGAGCCCAATGCAGGTGATGTAGTCCAGGATTTTGTCATCTATAGATATGGGGGACATTAGAATGGAAAAAGACATCACTGCATTGGTGTAGTTACACCGGCATTTCACTCTGTTCTTGACATCCAACGTTTTCTCACACGCCTTCTCATCCCATCTCCTTTTCCTGGAATGCCAGCCAACACACTGAGCCCTGGCACTCCGGGATTTATTGATCTTCTCAAACGTGAGGAAGATTTGCTGTAATCGGTCTGGTAAAATCACCGAAAGAACCAGACCATTTACCGGCCTGGGAAGACTCGCATTTGGCAAGTGGTCTTCTTTCAGCACAGCCCCCAAGGTGGGAAACGCTATGGTGATGGCTTGGGAGGCATTTGCTGGCAGCTTCCACAGCTCGTGCTGGGGAATTTCTATCATTCCTAAGATCCCCTCTGCTGTATTGTTCGTGTTCCCGGAGAATCTGAAACTTTCCTCCGAGGTGTTGTGGCTGATGTGAAACCCTTTCGTCTGAATGAAGGGCTCATCCACAATGTTCTCAGATGCATTGCGGAGGTGGAGTTGCCGGGCGAAGGAATTCACCGACTGCAGCAAATCTGAGCTGGCGTTCCTGTCAGGAATGAAAGCCCAGTTTGAAATGGCTGCTGTGTCGAGGATGTGGTTGGCCACTTCGCTGTAGCTCTGCAATGGAGAAAAGTGGATATGATCAAAAAAGGATTCACACAGTATTTTACAAAGTCGGTTTCTAAAATCTGAAATTTTGGAGGCAAATGATCTGATCTTATTTGGCATATTTCTCTGGAAATTTCCTGTTTATTGAATCTCATGCTGATAAGCCTGCAGGGAAGACAAGTAAATGAATGTTAAAAATAAAATGTATCACAGATAAAGTTTATCTGCTTTTTTATGTGCCTAGGGCAGCATTTCCCAAACGGCAGACTCTATAACCCGTTTCCAATATGATAGTAATGATTGTTTAATGCAGGAGATTGGGGATAGAGTCTATAATAATTTAAGTTTGGGAAATACCATATTCCTATCTCCCTCACTCTTATAAAGGGTGCCAAAGTTCATTCACACATTAAAAGGTCTAAAGAAGGAAACCTGCTTAACTTGAATTCAGAGTCCCTACACCTGCTGCATCTCCCTGTTAGAAATGGAAGCCCCGTTAACATTTCTCAGAACAATTATGTTCTCCAGAATAAAACGTTGGAAACGCTGGAGTAGACACGATCTTGCTCACTGCCATCACTATGTAATATTTTTTCTGCAAATATGAATCCTATACCACAAACATATGTAAAAAATGTTCTAACGTTTTGACAACTTCCATAAACCCGAATGAATCCATGTGAGACACGGAAGTGAAATTGCTGTTATTGTTATATTTGCTGTGGTGGTGATAGTTTTTCCCCTGTAAAATATATTTTGTAACTGTTATGAAAGGGCAAGCTTTGGGGGGGAGATAATGGTCGGTTTCTAACAAAGAACACTCACCTTCATTTTCTCTAGGGTAACATTATCAGACAAGTCTGTAGAGATGTTTTTTAGCAACTCCACAATAAAAGCGATATTTCCAGACGTGGCTTCTGAGGATTTCACCGCATCGATGATGCAGGCGTAGTCCCGCGGGCAGCTCCTGCGGATTCCCTGCGCCACGCTCTCCATGGGCTCCGGAGCGCGAAAGTCAAGAATGCGCAGAGGTATGGAGGGTGCTGCCACCGAAAGGCGTGATGCACTGTTTAAGTCCTGTGTTGTTGTTTTTTAAAAAAAATGATGTTTTAGTAAAAATGAATAAACACCTAACACGCATCAAACTAAATGAGATAAAGGCACAAAGGGTCAACATGAAGAAAATAGATGAGATGCTGAGAGTTACAGAGAGGTTAAGGTGGGGTCTCACACAGGCAGGGGATTGTATCAAAGTCCCCACAGATATCTCTTTTCCTATTGGAATTTGCTTTTGAGGACCAAGACTTTAACTCAGGACTGAAACAGTTTTCTCCAGAGATGTGGAGAAATTCTAGAAAACATTGGTCCAGTAATTATTATGTTTTTAAGAGGTGCCACATTAAGAGGAATTTTGAGGATAGTGTTGGAGATTGGCCAGTCAAACACGGAACACAGTGGAATTGCAGTTTCAAAAAGCTGAGTTCACTCATTAGAATAAATTATTTGCTTATTTTCTCGTATGTTTCCCCAGAGTCTCCCAGAATGTGACTTTGGATAAGCCAAAGCAATAATATACTTCATTTAATTCCCTTTGGAATGCCACTAGGGTTGCAGGACCTCTACCTATGCTAAGTGGCAGAGCCTCCATGGCCCTTACAGAGTCACTGTTGAAGTTTTACAAAAGGCAGAGATCCATGTGCTTCTATGGGATTAGAGAGAAGGTAGGTGTACATGGTGCTTAAGTGAAAGAACGTAAAACAGGATATTTTCATTCTAACTCAGATTTTTTTTTTGTTTTCACTGCATTGTTATTCCCTTTGGGTCACTCATTTCTCCTTTCTTTTGGTCAAGTGATTGAAAGTATTAGAAAAAATTGAAAATGAATTTGTTTCTAGACACATTTAGTTGATTAATTAGGTAGCCCAGAGACAAGCAAATCCACCTTTAGAGCTAAAACTTTACCCGGACTAGCATGGCTCAGTGGTTGAGTATCGACCTATAAACTAGGAGGTCAGGTTTTGATTCCGGGTCAGGTCACAACCTGAGGGGGAGGGTCATGCAGGAGGCAGCCAATCAATGATTCTCTTTCCTCATTGATGTTTCTATCTCTCTCCCCCTTTCCTTTCCTCTCTGAAATCAATAAAAATATTTAAAAAATAGAGCTAAAACTTTATCCTCCAAGCATTTACTATTACATAAATGAGTTTCAGATCTGTTTTTAAGAAAAGATTCTGAAAGGGAGAGACAGTGGGGAGTGAGGAGAGAACATGAGTTTGGGTAAGGAAGAAGAAGAGACAAATTTAACCTGTTCTATAGATTTTCCTAAGTCCAAACCTGAGAATTATGCTCAATAAAACATGTTAAAAATGCTTCTACCACCTCCTGAGGGATTGGCTCCTGTTGCCAATAGTATGCAAATGCATCACCTGGAAGAGCTTTCTCACAGAAAGGCTTGTACATGTTTCAGTTGATTTTTGCCACATGTTTTGATTACATGTAAATCCTATTTCTCCACGAAAGGGGTGAGCACAGGGCTGGCTGCAGTTGGATGAAGTGATGCAAGGACCATGACATTTCTCTGCAAAGGAAAAGAGAGAGAGAGAGGTCTGATTAGCAGTCCCACACTTCGATGGGGGCATCAAACTCATACTGGGGATTTTAAGTTCCTTCCAAAGGAGGTGATATTGACCTGGGTCCTCAGCAACAAGACAGACCTGCCAGGCAGGTTGTGAAGCTGATGTCTAGGCAGTGGGTGGAGAGGAGGAATCACAGGTCTTTCAGAAAAGCTAGCTCAGAGCATCTGAGGGGAGAGTGGCCAGAGATGAGGAGGGGGAGGGAAGCAGTGGTTAAGTCCTGAAGGACCTTGAATGCTGTGCTAACATGGGCATTACCAGAAAACAAGATTAAATTTGTTTTTGAAAAAAAAAATTAACAGTAGCATAGAGCAGGAATCTGCACACTTTTATGTAAAGGATCGTATAAATGTCAAATAAAACACAGGATGCTCACATAAATGTTAATTTTATTTTCAGACACAGTCGATTCTCATTATTTGCAGTAGTTATTTTCTATGAAGTCACTGCCATAAACACTGAATCAGCAAATACTGAGCCATTGTTCCTAGAGGAATACAAGGTGTCTAGGAGCTGCTGCTCACAAAATTTTCAACAGATCAGTATCAATCTATGTTTGTTTTATGTGTGTTTTAATTTAATGTCACCTTATATAATCAATAGTTGATTTATTGACATTGAACTCATGGACAATAGTGCTATAACTCATGATAGCATATAAACAAAGCTTATCGAAAACAGGTGTTTTCTCCAGAAGGTACATCACAGCTCGGTTAGGAACACTAGACAGCACTTCGCCCTATACTTGGGGGCCATATTAAACAGCAAGATCGCCAACAAAAAAGCAAAATACCTGGCACTGCATAGGCCACCCAAAGAACACTGTGTGTGGTAAGAGAGCTGGAACAAGAGGGCAGAGCACCACTTGTGCAACCTCAGCTGGGAACATGCCCCCAGCCTACTCATTTTTTTTTGCTGTTCTGTGAATGATGGAGAAAGGACTGTGAGTGTTGATTTTGAGATTGCAAATACCTTTCAAAAGAGTAGGGGAATTTGCCAATACACAATCTACAAATAATGAGGACTGACTGAAGATGTTCAGATAAACAATGAATAATGTTTTAGGGTATATATGGTCCACGCATTCTTATTCATTGCTTTTCTGAAATGTAAATTTAACCAGACATCCTATGTTTTTATTTGCTAAATATGATTATACTCACCACAGAGTAAATAGTTTCAACACTGTGGGCTATACAGTCTCTGTGACAACTACTCAACTCTGCCTTTGTAGCATGAAAGCAGTCAAAGGTAATATATAAATGAATGGGCATGGCTGGGTTCCAATAAAACTTTCTTTACAAAACCTGGTGGCAGGCTTATTTTGGCCCATGGGCAGAGTGAATTGACTTGAGGCAGAGAGCCCAGAAATGAAGCTGTTGAAGTATTCCTAGGAGAGTGGCAGGGAAATGGAAAGAAGTAAATGAGGCTGAGAGCTATTAAGGTGTTGACATCAATATGACGTGGTGATTTGGCTGTGAGATAAGAATACACCCACATTTATGTCTTGGATAGCTCTGTGGATGACTCCATTCACAGAGAAAGGAAGCAAGTGGGTTTACCCAGTGTATCAATTTGGCAGTTATTTAAACTGAGTGCCTCTCAGTTTATATAATTTGGAGATGATACCATGGTGTTGTTACAAACATTAAATGAGAGACAGCATCTTGTGCAGCACTTCGTCTATAAATGCTCAATAAAGTATCTCAAATTTTCTCCTCTTTCCTTTTTCAATTCCATATCTAAGTAGAGATTTATCTCCCACCAAAAATATACTTGGTCATGAATGTGCAGAATCCAGTTTATTCCTGTTATTTGGGTGAGAACCACATGATTTCACTATTTTGTGACTAATAATTACTTACATAGTTTGTCTTTCACTTCTCAAGAGTGACCAGTCTCACCAATACAATATCTATCTGACATCACTTCAACATACCTCTCAGCACCAAAGCATTACGTACATTGAAGCAATACAAAAATATCTTTGGATGAAGACATGAATGAATAATGTCCTTTCCCCTCTTCTGCCTCTTGTTAGCTTGTTCGTTCAAATGGATTTTCCTTGTGGGTTTTTAAATGAACACTTATCTACTATTCTAGAATCTGTGAATATTTGCCAACTTTATTCATTGACTATGCCATGGATAATGGTATAATTGTAAGAAAATCTATCACTATTGGTAAACATTGAGAACTTATTAGATATTTTTTATATATTTTTTTCTGTTTGTATAGATGAGATCATTTGTTTACTTATTTGTCCATCATGTTTATAAGCATCTATTATTTATGTAGCCACTTTGGAAAATCTAGAAAAGTAAACATCAACCACATTTCCCAGGCTCTAGGGTACTACTACTGGGTCACACTAATGGTGAAGGCCATATTTTCCAGGCTCTTGTCTCTATTGTTCAGGCAGCACTCCCAGCACCACCACCACCCCGTGATCATTCTCACTCAATTTGCATCTAGTTTTCAGGGGATGGTCAACATGTCCTTATAAACTAGGCTGTAAGCTACAGTTACATTGAAGCATGTTCCATATTCTTCCACCCCAGCTTTGCACTCTTTCCTCCCTCACCACTGTTGTCCATTCCTGAGATGTTTCTTGAAAATTTCATCAAGTATGTGTGGCCAGTGCTCACTGCTTCCAGGACTCCAATGACACTTTTACCATTTGCAACAGCATGGATGGAACTGGAAAGCATTATGTTAAGCGAAATAAGCCAGTTGGAGAAAGATAAGTATCACATGATCTCACTCATATGTGGGATATAATGATCAACATAATTTGATGAACAAGAATAGATCCAGAGACACATGGTGGGGGGCGGGGAAGGTTAGAGAGCAACCAAAGGACTTGTATGCATGCATATTAGCATAACCAATGGACACAGACACTGTGGGGGGGGGCGTTGACTTGCCTGGGGTGGGAATGGCTGGGGAGGGGTGAATTGGGGGAAAAGAAGACATATGTAAAACTTTAGACAATAAAAAAAATAAAATAAAAAAGAACAGGAGGGAAGAGGACAGAGGAAAGAACCCATGAATTCAAAAGTAGATATTACCTAATCTGAACAATATAGAGAAAATAGACTTTAAAAAAAGAAGAATGAACAAAACCTCTGGGAATTGTGGGACTATGACAAAAGATCTGATAGTCATCATTCATGTCATTGGAGTCCTGGAGATTTTTATATTTTATTGGAAGACTTGTGGTCTGGGGACATGCTTGTCATGTCTTCAAATGGAAGAAGACTGTAGCCACATACCTTGTATCCTTCCAGTCTTGGGTTTCTCTTCAAGATGTTGATGTTTATCTCCATCCTGTAAAACACAAATTCCCAAAGGTCCTCTTTACTGTGGAATTCTCCTCTCTCATCTCAACTTAGAGGCTCCATGTGGATGTGAAGAGAAAATGTGTTCAGGACTAGGAAGAAAAATGCAGCGGGTTCATGTGCTGATACCGCAAGAACTTGCTGAAGGAAACATGGATGTGAGCATGGACAGAGAATACACTGCCCTCCAAGAAGGACTAGAACCTTGTTGCTGGTCACCTGGGCTCTGAAGGTCAGGTTAGTGGATTGCGTCCATCTTTTGGAAAGTCTAAGTATTCAGAGAGACCACGCAGAGGACAAACAATTTCAGCATTAAGCTGTTCCCTGCCTATCTTAACTGTAACTGTGAAATGCAGCTTATGTACTCCAGCATATATTGAGAAAAAGAGAAATGAACGGATACTAGAAGTAAGCATTTGGTTGTAATAATGGAATCACAAATTCTTTTATAGCTATAAAGAACTATCAAGTTTATCTAAAAGAAATAAACATACCATTCATGTTATAGATAAGTAAATTAAAACTCAGAAAAGTGAAGCAACTTGTGTAACTAACAAGAATCAAACAAAGTTAAGGTCTGAATCTAAATCTGTCAACTACCTAACTGCCAGGATAGTGAGTCATGTCCTAACTAATGATGCTTTGGTCAATGACAGACCATGTGTACGACTGTGATACATCATGTAGCCTAGGAGTGTAATACACTATACCATGTAGGTGTGTAATTGCACTGTATGGTGTTCATACAATGACCTAAATCACCTAATGATGCATTTCTCAGAACATATCCCCGTCATTAAGAAGCTCATGACTGTACTTCCTCCTTTCAATCGCTGCCTCTCTATAGTCTCTGTGGTTTCAAAGTGATTTTTCTACTATGTTGTTGTACCCTGTTGCACCTTGCAACTATACTGTTGCAAGTCCCAGCCACCTCTCAAATTTTCTTTCTTCCTATATCTAGAAAACTACTATCCGCAAGAGTAAAATGGCAGTCATTTGAAAATATCTTTAACATGACATGTTATTCATCATAAAACTAGCCATCTAGACAAACTGCCAGTTTTCTCATGGGGATTTTGGATCTATAGTGAGAACATTCTACTTACTTTTATGTGGATCTTGGCTCTATACTGAGAACATTCTGTGGTCAGAAATAACATTAAACAGCAAATCATGGTTGACTGAGACTTCATTTTCACACATTGGGATCTTCACCTGCAATAGAGAAAGAAGGTGCAGCTGGCTGTAGGTGATGATGCCACACAACTAGCATAATACTTCACAGAAAAACCAACCACTGAGTGACTCTATTGGGTACTTTGAGATATGTATACCAAACAACCTACCTCAGGAAAAAACAGACTGTCTATTAACTATTGACTTGTCTACAAACAGTGGCAAGAATGATGGAAGTACCAGGAAAAATATATGTTCACCAAAGCAGCATTTCTTATTTAATCCACAACTTTCTTTAATAATAAAATGTTCAAGAACTTTTACTTGCTAATCACTGTTCTAAGCACTTTCGCTGCAATAAACTCATGTAATCATGTGGTACAAGATATTATTACTGGTTTCATGTTATCAATGGAGAAACTAAGGCACAATGACTTGAGCAACTATGAGCCGAAGTCACTCAGATGAAAGATGGTGGAGCCAAGAGTTCAAGCAGGTGGTTTGGGTGGAGAAGAATTGCTAATCTCTTTATTCTTAAAGGGTGTTCAGTGGGGAACAAAGAAAAGTCAAACCAATGGTGGGAAGAGAGATTATCTATATATTATACCTAGTGAACAAGGTTTGGCAGACACCTAGCCTTCAGGAAAGAAAAGTCCCTTTATGGTCAAATGGACATGAACTTACTTTGATCTCTCTAGGCTCCAAAGGCAATCTGTGGCCAGGCAGCAGATGAAATCACTGATCTACAGTCAAACTTTTCTTGGGTGGAGTCAAAACTGAGATGGGTTTTCATGACTCTAGTGAGCCTTCAAGTGAGATGATGAGACATGGTCACTTATAGGGAAGTTTCCAAATTGTCTTTGAGTTTAAAATCATCTTTGAGTTTCTAACCATTGAACAGGGGAAAGTATTTTGATTTATACCAATGTCTTGTAGAGCCAGTCTGGGCAGAGGAAAGTGAACATGGCAGAATGACTGGCAAAGTGTGGTCATAGATTTATATGGGTGTTGGGATATGTGAGCAGAATTCTTGATCTTATAGTGTAGGTGGAAAAAAGTTCTCATTTATATAGCGCTCATTGGTGGATGAGCACACTAAGCAATTTGCAATGTAAATATTATTTAGATGAATTTTTAACTGATGATCTCAAAAAGAAGTACCTGAAGAACCAGTATAGGTTGGCTAAAATGTATCCATGTGTTTCACCTGTATACCTGTAGGTTGCACAAATTTTTAATATGACACAATAAGAAACAGATCTTATATTGTGACTCAGTATATACAGACAAATATATGTATATGTATATATGGGTATCCATATATAACTGAAAAAATAGATTTATTTTATTATCCAGTTGAAAATTGTTCACTTTTCCCATTAAAGTGGTCATTTTGATCCTTTCTCTTTGCTATTCTTTACAATGATGTTGAAATTTTCTTGCCTGAGTCCATGTATCAGGGAGAAAAGATACCTACATTCAGGACCACATAATAGGACTGATGCTGAAGATAAATGCAATTCTCTTCTATCTGGAGACGATGGTTTGAAATGCAGTTAAATGGAGGAAGGGGAGCCAACAGCAGGCATTTATAAGCAATAGTGCCTTCTATCTAAGGCTGCAGAGGAGGGCCACTTTTACTCTAAGTTTTCAGCATAGGAACTTTGCATAAGCTAATCTTGCTAGAAAGAAGTCAGGCATTTGGTTTAAGATGTGATGGGATGTTGTGTGAATTAGGGAGTCCAAAAGTGTTTCCCCAAGCAGTGCTAGGGCCTCCAGGTGTGCAAATCCTGAAAGGATTCAAGTAAAGGGGCCAATAGTCATGGCATTTTATGTAGATCATTATACTCTTTGTAGAACATTAGGAAATAATAACACATTTTATATATTCACATAAACTAAAAATGCATGCGGGAAGCCACCACTTTCTCAATACTATCATAAGAGAGCACCAAGGAACACAGAAGGCCGATGGACCTTGGACTTAGCAGGGCGGTGTTGAGATAGTGGTGGCTCGAAGCAATTTCCTGTCGTAATAGCCTCAAAGTAAATGTTTACTGGACCTTACTGATCTTTACTGATCTTTATTGACCTTATAGACGGTCTGTCTGCTACATGTTTGTTGTGCTTTACTGAAAGCAAGATGTGTATCTAAAACTGAATAAAAAGCAGAGAAGGCCAAGTTCCAGTGTGCCTCTCCAAGAAAGAAGTCTCCACCTGGCCCCCCATGCCTTCTAAATTCATATTTCTTGTATAGTATTTTCATTTGTGCGTCGACCCCTTCTTCAGATCCTGAACCCCCGCTGCAAAAGGTTGTGGCAACGTATACTAGCAGAAATATAACAGGTATATGCAAAATAAATCATAAGCATGACCATAAGAAACACAAACTTTGAATTGAGCACATTTGGCTATTTGGGGGTTTCAGTTAATGAACTTGCTACTTGCTCATTCATGTTATTATAGTCTACTGTAGGTAACCCACATACCATTTGGTATGATAATTACATGGTAAATTTCCTTCAGTTATTATAAATGTGTGTGGGAGGGGTGGAAAATGTTTATGATGTTACCCAAGAGGTGTTATAACATTCTTATTTTTGCCCAGTTTAATTGGCAAGCATGGGCCGGATGGGTAGATGTTTTCAAGTTAGGCCCCATTGGGTTATTTCTTTTCCTACCAGATAGAGTTGAATGGGAGCCCTCCCATCAGAATCGAATAATGACTGAGGCCAAAAGCCAGAGTGCTCTGCAGAGCAGACAGCAAGCAGAGCGTAGGACTCTGAGGATGGAAACATTTTAAAAATTAAAAAGAAACCGAAACCGGTTTGGCTCAGTGGATAGAGCGTCGGCCTGCGGACTGAAGGGTCCCGGGTTCGATTCTGGTCAAGGGCATGTACCTGGGTTGCGGGCACATCCCCAGTAGGAGATGTGCAGGAGGCAGCTGGTTGATGTTTCTCTCTCATCGATGTTTCTAGCTCTCTATCTCTCTCTCCCTTCCTCTCTGTAAAAAATCAATAAAATATATTAAAAAAAAAAATTAAAAAGAAGCCAGCATAATCCAAAATCAGAGGTTGATATTTTATAGGACCGAATGGAGGAAGCACACGTTCTTAGATTTATCACTGATAAAGAATTAGCAGTTCAAGTGAACTTTGAGTTTTGCCTAAGTCCCAACTGAAAACTATCTGCAGATACAAATAAGGTACCTCTCCAATACCTAGGACAGTGCCTGCATGTAGTACATTATCTCTTGAAATAATGAGGGAAAGAAAAGAACAAGGACACAGAACCTAAATATATTCAATTAACTGTGACAAGAGGAGTGTGGATTGTCCAGAAGAATATCAGCAAAACATGGGCAATGCCATCAGAAGAAGCGTTCAGATGTGAATCTCACGGAGGCAAACTCTCCTGCTTGTTTGTTTGTTCCTGCTGAAGAGTGGCTGGAGTCATGTGATGTCCTTTCCTACATGGAGAATCCAGAGTTGCTCCATGCACTTTATGCTCAGATGACCTTTATGTCATCTATTAACCTCTGGTTCTACAGTGTGTTCAATTTAGCAAAAACTCTGCGTCTTTGTGAAATCCCTATTTCCACAAATCCCTTGGGCTTAATACTGTTTGGCAAACTATCACTGGCTATTTAAATCAAGGTCCTAAGGTCTCACATTTTTATGGATCCCCATATGTACATTCATAAAATAAACTTGGGATATTAACAATCAATCAATCAACCAATCAATCAAGAACCTCGTACCCAATGGGGGAAAATAAAAAAAGTAAATAGTAATCCTGACAGGATAGTGATATAATATGCATGTTTATGCCCAGGACCCACCAGTTGTTTGCCAACAGTTTGTAACACCCACCAAACTTAAATTTAAAAAATGGAAGAAAAACTTAATGAGGACATTGGTACCCACTGACTTAAATATTCTATGAATTCAGTAAGTTTACCCGCTTTACTCTTAGTAGGAAAAAGATACAGAATTTGTGTCTATTGCATTTGGCCAACATATTGTGTCCTGAAGTGGGTTTCTCTGGAGCACTGGTCTCACAAAAGCCTGAGGGGTTCCATGGTTAGATCACTTTGGGAAACAGCATGTACCAGCATCACCACTGCCGCCCCTTCACCCACACCTATGCATAGCAAAGACTCTGAGAGCAATTCCAGTAAGGAGACTGACCCAGGTTTTGCCAAATTTACTTGATCATCAAAAGTACTTTGGGGAATGAAGGCTGCTATGTGAGGACACAATGTTACCTTGGAGTATAACACATTAACCTATCCAGGCTCAGACTCCACTTGCATTTACGGGGCACCTACCACATGCCAGTTCCCTGTGAGCTCCTAAGCTACTCACACTGGACCCACAGTCGCCCACTAGTGAGTAAGAGTGTGGGCTTTAGTCAATTCTGAAAGAAGGAGGCTGTGGACAGACGGATAGATCATCTTTAATCTGTGAAACGAGTCAGAATTATTCTGAAATGTGATGCTCAGAGTGGAGAGGTGAGGGAAGGCAGGCACGAAGTGGCTTGGCAATCAGAAGTTTGGAATGATCACCAGGGAAGGGAAGACAGGCTCAGAAATGAGAATAAAAATGAGGAAGAGAAAACAAGATGCCAAAGAACTCCTGCCTGAGACTCCCTGTGGTAGCTTCCTATATAATGAGGTATCTGACCTTCACAAAGAAGTTCCCTCCGGCTTCTAGGCTAGTCACCCGACAAAGGCAACTCCGCATCCTGTTCCCAAAGTGTCTGAAAGATGACATTTCAGCCATAAAAGCAACAAGCAACCTGGGCTGACAGCTTCTCGGGACCTATGAAAAGAATGTCCTGAATTCCTCCTCCCTGCTTCCACCACCTGCCTCTCTCTGCGTGTACTTATCCAGGCATGATTACCCACAACCACCCACTTCTGTCTCTTACTTGATAATAAACAGCATTCTAAGCTACTGAATGGAAGCCAAGCTCCCTGATCTAAGAGAGAGAAAAATAGCGTTTGCTGGCCTCAGAGACTAAAAGGAAAA